TCAATTCAAACAGATGAAATCTCAGAACCAAGAAGATCAGAAAGAACAAGACACATACCTGCAAGGTTACAAGATTACTATTGTCATTCTCTGAGCACAGGCAGCCTCCACAACAGGTCATCTCCACACTCCATTAACAAGGTTATATCATATGATGCTCTATCTCCATGCCACAGGGCCTGTGCAAACTCCATTTTGAACACACAAGAGCCACAATCATATAATGAAGCAGTCAAAGAAGAAGCATGGAGGAAAGCAATGCAGTGTGAAATAGATGCATTGGTTGAAAACAAGACTTGGGTGCTTACTGACCTACCACTAGGCAAAACCCCAATTGGTTGCAAATGGGTGTACAAAGTGAAGCATAGAGCTGATGGCTCCATAGAAAGACACAAGGCCAGATTGGTGGCAAAAGGTTATACTCAGCAGCTTGGAGTGGACTATGTGGAGACTTTTTCTCCTGTGGCTAGAATGACAACAATTAGAACTTTCCTAGCTGTGGCAGTTGCAAAAGAATGGGATATCCAACAACTAGACATCAATAATGCCTTTCTACATGGAGACTTAGAGGAAGAAGTATATATGGTCTCACCCCCTGGTTTTCAAAATAACAAGCAGCAAGTTTGCAAGTTGTTGAGATCTTTATATGGCCTAAAGCAGGCCAGCAGACAATGGAATGCCAAGTTGACTAAAGCTTTGCTTGATATTGGTTTCCAACAGTCCACTGCAGATCCATCCCTCTTTACCAAAAGCTCAGGCACTTCATTTATGGCTCTTCTCATCTATGTAGATGATATATTGGTTGCAGGGACAGACTCAGCAGATATCAACAGATTGAAACAATTCTTGGATAAGACATTCAAGATCAAAGATCTTGGACATTTGAACTACTTTCTGGGGATTGAAGCACTCAGATCCACTAATGGTCTCAACATTTTCCAAAGAAAATACACCTTGGAAATCCTAAAGGAGTATGGCTTCATGGATGCTAAACCTGCTAAGACTCCCATTACTGCAGGCCAGAAACTCAACTCTCTTGAGGGTACACCACTTGATAAACCAGAAGTTTATAGAAGATTGGTTGGAAAGTTACTATACTTGACAAATACCAGACCTGAAATCACATATGCAGTTCAGCAGTTGAGTCAATATGTTGACAAACCTAGGAACACTCATCTCATGGCTGCTCACAGAGTGTTGAGGTACTTGAAAGGGGCACCTGGGAAAGGGATGTTTTATCCAGCAGATTCTCAAATAAAGCTACAAGGGTTCTCTGATTCTGATTGGGCTACTTGTGCTGAAACCAGGAAGTCTGTCACAGGCTATTGTATTTATCTTGGCAAGTCCTTAATCTCTTGGAAAACAAAGAAACAAGCCACTGTTTCTAGATCATCTTCTGAGGCTGAGTATAGGGCCCTTGCATCCACTGTTTGTGAAGTCCAATGGCTTTTATACTTGCTTGCAGATCTGAAAGTCAAGCCTAACAGCCCCACTGCTCTATTTTGTGATAATAAGTCTGCAATTGCCATTGGAGAGAATCATGTCTTCCATGAAAGAACTAAACACATTGAGATAGATTGTCATGTTGTTAAGCAGAAAGTATATGAAGGAGTTATAAAGCTAATGTCAGTTCCCTCACAAAAACAGCTTGCTGATGGTTTCACCAAGGCTTTGCCAATAGTGTTGTTTGATGATTTCCACTCTAAGCTGGGCCTTCAAGATGTTCATGCTCCAGCTTACGGGGGGGGTGATGAAGCATACTTAGCTCAAGCCTTCTCAGCTCTCTAATCTGCCTCACATCTAGAAGGACTTTTGTGTCTTTTCTCCTCTTCCCTTTTCTGTTATAACTGCCATAGCAGTTTGTATATAACAGTAGCTTCCTTTCCCCTTTCAGACTAAGCTTTGTACTCATTTTCAGATCACCAATAATGCACATCATTTTCCTTCTCTCTGACTACTGGTTTACAATGAAGAACTATTGAGTTCTCCACACTATCAAACCATACCTAGTTCCTACTTGACATCATAATGTGTCTTATTAATTTATAAAAAAATGTTAAAGACATGTTTTGTTTCAATAAGTTCGTGAGTAAAAGTTTATTATTAAGAGTACATAAAAAATTAAAACCAATAAATAACTTATACATGTTAAACATAAATTGAATACCTATATGTTATTAACAAAACAGATAAATTATTAGCAACCCCCTTCGATCTGGTAGCTTTCCTATACAGATCCCATACACAAGCCTGCTACCATTAATTCTTCAAGTGATGGATTTGGAGTATTTGGTGAATGCCAATTTGTCAAATAGTAATGGTGAGTTTTTTGAATGCTAGTAATGGTGAGTTTAGTGTTTGATAAATTGCAAATTATATTTGCATATTGTAATCAAAATGCGAATTAAAGATAATAATTTATGTTAGAAGATTACGTTTATTTAATTTAAAATACTATTTTCCTACTTACAATGTATTTTGTCGCTCAATCTATTTATTGCTTCATCTTAGTTACTTGGAGTTAATTGGCCTTAATTAACACAATTTGTCATGGCCAAATCCAAATAACTCCAATAAAATTAGAAGTAGTTTGTATAATTGTATAGTTAAACAAATAGGTGAAGGCGTAAATTAAGAAAAATTAAATTCACTTGTTGGAGAATTACTATTATGTCTTACACCTAACTCGGCAAGTCGAGCTAGGAGCTTGACAGAGTTATTAATAAGGCACGACTCGACAAGTCGAGTTAGGAGCTCATCATAGCTATTAATAGGAAAAATTATAATTTATGTCCCTCACAAATATGTCAATTATGAATGTCATGCCTGAATTATTAGTGGTGTAAATATTGCCCTTCAATTTTCAAAACGTGACATATATTGCCCTTCCTTGAATTATTAGTGATGTAAATGTGGCTACTCATCGTCTTCCTTGTTTGAAGACCAAATTTTTCTTGTATTTTTCTTTCTTCGTTTGTTCTCCTTTCACTAATAACAATGTTTCCCCTTCTTCCTATTAGGGGAGGGACAACATATGTCACGTTTTGAAAATTGAAGAATAACATTTACACCACTAATAATTCAAGAGTGACATTGATAATTGACATATTTGTGAGGGGGATAAATTACATTTTCTCCTTATTAATAAGTTATACCATAACTCAAGATGATTAAATAATCAACCCACCTAGTAGCTCGATCACATGCCTCTAAATATACTTAATAACTAGAATGATATCAAAGTTAATTGTAGTCAAAAGATTATGCGACGATACTTCTCGAAATGAATTGTGTCAAATATAATTTAGACGGTAATCAAGTAATAATGAAGAAAGTGAAGTTTGTGACACATCGATTCATGTACTCCCAGTCAATCACTTGAAGAAGATAAATAATGGTAGATTTACCTAACTAGTGATATTTTTAGAAGGCAAAACAAAAAAGAAACTAGAATTGTTGAAAGATTTAGCAACATATGACATTTTAATTGGTTATTTTGTGGTACAAATATTAGTGGAATCAACTTCTAGTTTGGATCGAATTAAAGTGAATTCATATTCTCTTAAATGAGATGAAGAAATCGATATTTTACGTTCAAAACATATGAGTGAATGAGAAAATTGATTTTTTAAAATATACCAGTTGGAAAAATGATTATGGAAAAACTTGAAATTAAAGAAGCCTTTATCTCATATTAGAATAAATGAGAAGTGGATTTGTAGTAATACAATTACAAATTCCTTTTTAAGAAAACTTTGAATTGTATAACCTATATAAAGCTAAGTCTCTTTTTTTTTTTTTTTTTTGGACCAATTCCCGTGCCTTCCGGAGGGAACATGTATTAGTTAGGTGGACTTGGACTATATATTAAATAAATAGAGAAAGACATGAATCACTTCGTGGTTTAATTTACACAAAAAAAAAAAAAAAGTCTCTTTCTTTGGTGCTGAGTCTTTACCCACAGTCCCACACCATACTGTAAAATAAATAAGAACAAAACAAACAAATTCCTTTTTAAGAGAACTTTGAATTGTATGACATATATAAAGTCTCTTTCTTGGGTGCTGAGTTTTTACCCACAATCCCACACCATACTGTAAAATAAATGCAGTTTAAAAAACTTTTAAGAACAAAACAAAAAGATAAATTAATTCAAAGCAAATGAGAAAAGGATTCATGATCATTAAAGTTTTATATTATGTTGTTTACTGCGCACAAAGTGAGCCAAAACTTGATCCCGAGTCATTGTTTTCAAACTTCACTCATTTGACCAATTGAACTGTACTGTTCATGCGGGCTATTAAATTTTTTAAATTTGGCCTCACATCTTTTAAATTCTTGTCATATTTGGTCCCAAACTATTAAAATTTACAAATTTAGCCTAATGACTTTTAAAAATTGCAACATTTGATCACTCCGACCTAAATTCCAGTTACCTGTGACAAAATTGTAGGCAGATAAATTATTTTAAGGGTAAAATTATACTTTTTAATACTCTTTTTCTTAAACATTTTTTTTTTCCTTCCAAATCACTTTCTTCATTTTTTTTATCAACCTTCATTCTTCTTCTTTTTTCAGTCTCCCTTATGTTCATTCATGCTTGGTTTCTATCATTTTTGTTGCTTTTGGCATTTTGGAAGCGTGAATCTCACACCTGTAACCATTTGAAATTTTTTATAGAGGCATAAAAAATAGACTATTAACCTTGTAAGCTAGAGGGTTGGGAAAAAAAATAAGTTTAGGATCAAATACGAAAATTTAAAAAATCGGTGACCAAATATGAAAATTGTCATATTCTCGTGGACCAAAAGTGAAAAAGAAAAAAAAATCTAAAATGCACTATCAATTACATCTGAAACGCACTATTATAATTACAAAAATACAATTACGTCTTTTTTTCATTCTTTCCTTAATTTTAAACATTGACTATGCTAGATGAATGAATAACATTGGTCATCATGTTCTCACAGAGCTACTAGTTCTCTTAAAAGCTAAGTTATAATGAAAGTAATGTGTGTGAAAAATGAAATTAAAAAATAGACGTTGTTCAATAACGTATATTATCAAATGAAACTATAATATAATTAAAATGATGTTTTAGTGTTGCTATATTAATGATACTAGCTAGTGTGTAGAAAATGAAACAAAAATTCAAAGCCCATACAATAACATATATTGTCAAATTAAACTGAAGTTTGATTAAAATAATACTTTAGCGTTTCTACAATTAAACTAGTGTGAGAAAAATTAAACTTAAAAATATAGCTCATGCGATAATGTATATTTTTAACTGAAATTGTATTAGAATTAAAATGATACTTTGGTGTTGCTATAATGAAAATAGTGTCGGGAGAAAATGATGAAAATAAAAAGCATAACAACATTATCAAATGAAACTATTAAAGTTTTTTCGTCCTTTTCAAATGTTGATCCCAATTTAACATGAATAAATGAGATTTAAACCCTAGGATCGATCTCAATTCGCAATTCTCCTTCTCAAATTAAGGTAGGATGAGGAACAGAACTGCGAATTAGGATTGGTCTTAGGGCTTAAATCCTTTTATTCATACTCAAATTGAAATCTTAAGTTGAAAAAGATGAAAATACACTTAAAACTTTTAGATTTCGGCATGTTTTAAATAGAGGGGGTGACTAGCGTGATGAATTTTGATACTAAAATAATAATTATGGCTGAAAATTGGTACTAAAATTAAACGATAGTCGTAGATGAAAATTGATAAGAATTAAATAGGAATAAGGTTCAAATTGGCCACTGAACATAACCTGAATATGCAATTAGGCCATTGAACGAAAAAAAGTGCAATTAGACCACTGAACACACCAAAAACGTGCAATTAGGCCACCGAACACTCCAAATGTATGCAATTTCACCGGATAGCAGGTTACCATCAATTTTAGCAGGTTATCTGCTTACGTGGCAGCTGAGTTGGCATTTTAAATAATTTTAAAATAAAAAATAAAAAATAAAACGACCGGCCACACTGTCGTTTTTTCAATTTTTTTTAAAAAAATTATTATTAAAATTTATTAAAAATTATTTAAAAATTATTAAAAATGCCAACTCAGCTGCCACGTAAGCAGGTGACCTGCTAAAATTGATGATAACCTGCTATCAGGTGAAATTGCATACATTTGGAGTGTTCAGTGGTCTAATTGCACTTTTTTTTTTTTTTCGTTCAGTGGCCTAATTGCATTTTCAGATTACGTTCAGTGGTCAATTTGAACCTTATTTCAATTAAATATTGCAATCAAAATGCTAATTAAAGATAATAACTTAAGTTAGAAGATTACGTTTATTTAATTTAAAATACTATTTTCCTACTTACAATATATAATGCATTGTTATTTTGTCGCTCAATCTATTCATTGCTTCATCTTAGTTACTTGGAGTTAATTGCCTTAATTATGGCCGGCCAAATCCAAATAACTCCAATAAAATTAGAAGTTGTTTGTATAGTTAAACAAATAGGTTAACACTGTCAAGCATCTTGTGATTAGTTAGTATTTATGTGGTTCTCTTTGAGGGGAGTTACAAGATCAAACTCCAATAATGAGGTATTGACTCTTTGAACTAAAATAGTACTAATGAAAGTAAAAAAAAAAAAAAAAAAAAAAAAATTGTAATTTATGTCATTGAGGTATTGACAGAGTTATTAATAAGGCAGGACTCGACAAGTTGAGTTACGAGCTCAACATAGTTATTGATAGTAAAAAATGTAATTTATGTCATTGCAAATATGTCAATTATTAATGTTGTCAGCCTAGTTATTAATAGGAAAAATTATAATTTATGCCCTTAATAGGGAGAATTGTAATTTATGTCCCTCACAAATATGTTAATTATTAATGTAACTGGCCCCAAAATTATTTATGGTGTAAATATTAACTCTCAACTTTCAAAACGTGACATATATTACCCCTTCATTGAATTATTATTAGTGGTTACTTGTCGTCTTCCTTGTTCGAAGACCATGTTTTTTTCCTCCATTTTTCTTTCTTTGTTTGTTTTCCTTCCGCTGACAATAGTGTTTCTCCTTCTTCCTATTAGGGAAGGGACAATATATGTCACATTTTCAAAATTAAAGGATAACATTTACACCACTAATAATTCAGGAGTGACATTGATAATTGATATATTTGTGAGGGGGATAAATTACAAATTTCTCTTATTAATAAGTCATATGACTCGAGATGATTAAATAATCAACCGACCTAGTAGTTCGGTCACGTGCCTCTAAATTACTTAATGACTAGAATGATATCAGAGTTAATTGTAGTCAACAGATTATGCGATGATAGTTCTTCGAAACGGATAGTGTCAAGTACAATTTAAATCGTATCCAAGTCATAATGAAGAAATTAAAGTGAAGTTTGTGACACATCGGTTCATATATATATATACATTTCAGGTGTGTATACTCACAGTCAATCACTCGAGGAAGATAAATAATGGTAGGTTGTGTATGGTGCAAACAATATAATACAATGAAGGAACCAAACACGAAAAGCATATAATGCAAACAATTTAATAAGAAGATGTGATGCTCCTTGTTGAGCAGGCACTGCACAAGAAGCAAAAAAAAAAAAAAAAAAAAAAAAAAAGGTAAAAGGGCATGAATTGAACTTCAAGACAATTTTTTGATTAGGATTGTTCCTAACATATGACATTATAGGGCTTCATACGCTATACTTGATAAGGAAAAATCAAAACCTCCTCAAGATGTACAGTACTTGTTGAGTATCCAAAGACACGACAACCTTCTCATCAAGCCGGTATTTGGATTTTTATAGTTCCACCCTACCAAGAGTACGAGGGCAATCTTTAAAACCAAATCATAAGAATCTTACTAACCTACTATATATTTCCAAAATCCAAACAAACAAACAAAACTTAAAAACAAAAAAAAAAAAACAAAAAAAAAAAACAAAAAAACATCTTGAAACTATATACCTCGCTAGTGGCTACCTAGAACGATCTGTTAGGAGGAAGAATCAATTTCTCAAGCGATATTGGTGGTGAACTAGTGAATGGTACAAGTTTCAAGTTATCTCTGCAGATTCAAGGTTTGAGACATCATATGTGTCGTTAAGAGCGAAGTGATTTAAAAAAGAAAAAGAAAAAAAAAACTGATAAGTTTCATGATTAATTGTAGATTTTTTTTTTTAAGTAGCTAAGTCAAAAATAAATATTGGGTCATCTTTTAATTTAAGGTCCTGTACTCTTGGAAATTTTGTACAACCCAAAATTTGGCCCTGTTTATCATGAATGTAGGAATAAAATTTGGCAAATTATACCATGCACTAAGGCGCACAATGCCTGGTGCACGGTACAACGACTGACTTAGGGATGTCAACGGGGCGGGGTGGGGGCGGGGGACATACCCCCCATCCCCGTCCCCGACTTTCTTCCCATTCCCCGTCCCCATCCCCATCCCCGCCGGGAAATGAAAAATTCCCCCCATCCCCATCCCCACGGGGATTATTCGGGGACGGGGAATCCCCACCCCGTTAACAAGTTATAAAAAAAAATAAAAATTAAACATTAAAAAACATTTAAATAAATTTGGTGAACACCTAAATTGTACACCTAAGGGTTTTCCTCTCTAGATTCTCTCTAGGGTTTTTGCATACCTACTAGGGTTTTCCTAGGTTTTCTGACAATTTTGTTCGTATCTTTCCTGGAAGATGGCCGACGATGTTGTAATGGATGGTGTGGATAATCGAAGGGATGTAAGGCAAGCCGAGATGGAAGGGAGGCGTGAAGGACGACGGGAGGAAGATGTTGGTAACGATCGCTTCACGGATGGCCAACAAAACCCACGTCCAATAATTAATTGGGGGCAAGTGGGGAGGGAATTGGGGGTGGACGGTGGGTCCCAGCCAGCAAGAATGTTACGGGGAAGAGGGGAACAAGGTGGTGGAGTGGGGAAGGAAAGGATGTTACGGGAAAGGGGGGGAAGAGGGGAACAAGGCGGTGGAGTGGGGAAGGAATGTGATGCGCTGGCAGGTGATGATGGCGGTAATTATGGGGAGGATGAGGGCGGTTTGGATGGGAGTGGTGTGGGAAATAGGGGAAGCGTGGGCAGTATGGGTAGAGGGAATGGAGGCAGTACGAATCACCAGGGGAGGGGGGCTGGTAGGACTACACGGCAGCAGGGGGTGGTGGGGGGTGTGGCAGAGTTGACGGATAGATGGGCGGAGATGGCTTTGATGGAGGAGGAAGGGGCGGTGTTCATGCCGGAAGGTGGGGATGGGGTAGTAGAGGGTGATGGAGATGAGGAGGAAGAAGCTTGGAGGATTGTTGGGCGGTTTTTAACACAAAAAATGGTAAAACTGGATTTTATGAGACAGGTTCTGGCATCTGTGTGGCAGCCGGTACGTGGAGTTCAGGTAACGGAGATTCAGAGGGGTTTGTTCTTGTTTGTGTTTTTCCATAGGACAGATATGGAATACGTGCTGAATGGAGGACCCTGGGCCTTTGAGAATAATGCTCTCGTGTGTCGGGAGGTATTAGATGGGGTGAATCCTATGGATGTGGAGCTGGATATGATTGATATGTGGGTACAGTTGCATGACATGCCTAAGGGATACACGTCACATGCAATTCTGGAGCAGGCAGGAAATTTTTTGGGATCTTTTGTTAAACATGATGACCGGTTTGAGGGGGCGCCATGGCTAACATTTCATCGTATTCGGGTGTCAATTCCGGTTGATAGGCCGCTAAGAAGGAGGATGAGGTTGATGAAGAGAGATGGGACAACGGCATGGGTAAATTTCAGATATGAACGACTACACAAGTTTTGCTATTTTTGTGGCTGTATGGGTCACTTGCATACTTTTTGCATACACGCTAGGGAGGCTGGAATTCCGGTAGAAAGGTACCTGTACGGTCCGGATTTGCGAGCTGGTGGATCCCGGAGCGCTCCTAGAGCGGTTGGGGATAGCTGGCTTGTTCCGGTAGGCGGGAGACCACGACCACTGGGAATCAAGCCACGTGTAGTGGATGGGAGACAGGGAAGTGGGGCTGTCACACCCACGAGTATGTCTGAGGATGAGGTGGTGGTGGCTACGGCAAAGCGCCGTAGGCATGGAACGGAGGGAGGGGAGGGAAGTGGTAACGATGAGGTAACAACCGCAGCTGTTTCAAAAAACTTGTCTATGGCGGGAGCTGGTGTCCAGCCCCGCCCATCATCATGAGTACTCTGAGCTGGAACTGTCGTGGCTTGGGCAATCCACGCACAGTTCGACAGATTGTGGGCCTTGCGTCCAGTAAGAAGCCTGATTTTGTGTTTTTGATGGAGACCAAGGTACCACGGATACATGCAGAACGAATCCGGGTTACGCTTGGATATGAAGGTTTATTTTATGTTGATAACGATGGTTTGAGTGGAGGAATGGCGCTTTTGTGGAGGAAGAATAATACGGTGAGATTTTTAAGCTATTCGCAGAGTCATATTGATGTGGAGGTAAGCTTGTTTAATAAGTTATGGCGCATGACATGCATTTATGGTATCCCCGAGCGTGGTAGGCGGGAGGAGACATGGGATTTACTTGGTACTCTCAAGACTAGATCCTTATTGCCCTGGGTGGTGATAGGAGATTTTAATAATCTACTATATCAGCATGAGAAGAAGGGGGGAAATCCGTATCCTAATAGTCTGTTACGGGGTTTCGGAGATGCTGTGGATGACTGTGGTTTGATGCAAATGCCAATGAGGGGCCATCAGTATACGTGGCAGAAGGGGAAGGGGACGCCGAATTGGATAGAAGAAAGACTGGATAAGGCTTTAATAACGAATGATTGGGGTCTGCTCAATGAGAATGCAATGCTGGAAAATATTCGAACTCGGGCATCGGATCATTCGATCCTATTCCTCAGTATTAATGCAATTTGCATGCCAAAGAGAAGGGGACAGCGGAAGTTCAGATTTGAAATGGCTTGGCTATTAGATGAGGGATGCAACGGAGTAGTAGAAACGGCCTGGCAAGAGGGGAGAACGGAGGGATTGCTGCACTGCCAGCAGTTGTGTGGAGAAAAGTTGATGCGGTGGGGTGGAGATCAGTTTCATAAATTTGGAAAGCGAATTAACCACCTGCAGCGGAGGCAGGATGCCATACGGAATAGACGAGATTTGGTGGCTCTTGCTGAGTACCAACAGATTGAGAATACCATGAAACGAGTAGAGGCCCAAGAGGATGTGTTTTGGAGGCAGCGGGCCAAACAACACTGGCTACGCGGGGCTGATGCGAATACAAAATTTTATCACAGGTATGCTTCTGCACGCCGGAAAAAGAATTTTATTTCTACTATTAAATGTGATGCTGGTAACTGGGTGGAGGGGGATGATATGCATGCTGTTATACAGAATTATTTTGAAAATATTTTTGCCTCAAATGGACTGAGTTGTAATGATCCACTTTTCGGAGTCCTAACCCCACGAGTAACGTTGGAGCAGAATATGATGCTAGACCGCCCTTTTGAAACTAATGAGGTTAAAGAGGCTCTTTTTTCAATGTATCCGGATAAGGCACCGGGGCCGGATGGTTTGAACCCGGGTTTCTACCAGCAGTTTTGGGGGATAGTGGGAGGAGATGTAACTGGTTTTATAATTAATGCCTTGAATTCCTGTGTATTCCCTAATGGATTGAATGATACTAACATTGTCTTGATACCGAAGAAAGAGATGCCTGAGACAGTAGCAGATTTAAGGCCGATCGCACTGAGTAATGTCATTTACAGAATTATGGCCAAAATGATAGCAAATAGGATGAAAACATTGATGGGAGGATTGATCTCAGAATCCCAGAGTGCTTTTATCCCGGGAAGGCTAATCACGGATAATATCCTGGTGGCAGCGGAGGTGGGGCATTATCTGAATAGAAAGCAATGTGGTATAGTGGGATGGAGTGCATTAAAGCTAGATATGTCAAAGGCCTATGATAGAATGGAGTGGAACTTTCTGGAAAGGATGCTGACTGGTATGGGTTTTAGTGAGAAATGGGTGAAGCTCATTATGATGTGTGTAACGACTGTTAATTATACTGTAATGATTAATGGTATAGAAGGGGGGCACGTAAAACCAACCAGGGGACTCAAGCAGGGAGACCCGCTCTCTCCGTATTTATTTATTATTTGTGCAGAGGCTCTCTCAATGATATTACAGTATGAACAGTTCACAGGTTCAATACATGGGTGCAGAGTAGCAAGGGGGGCACCACCTGTATCACACCTATTTTTTGCGGATGATAGTCTCCTATTTTTTAAAGCAAATATCCAGGAGGCAGGAGCTATAAGGCAGTGCCTTGTAAGGTATGAGAAATTGTCAGGCCAGGTAGTGAATTATAATAAATCAAATATATGTTTTAGCAGAAATACCCAGGAGGCTGACAGGACACAGGTGGCGAATTGTCTGGGGGTGGTGCAAGCACCCAATTTTGGGAAATATCTGGGCCTACCATCTTTTGTAGGGAGAAATAAGAGAGCTGTTTTTTCGTATCTGGAGGAAAAAATCAGGCAACGAATTGGTTCGTGGAGTAAAAAGCTACTCTCTCAGGCTGGTAAGGAAGTATTATTGAAAAGTGTTGCACAATCTATGCCTACCTTTTCGATGAGTGTTTTTTTATTACCTGAGACAGTTTGCCAGTCAATTGAGCGAACTATGAATAAATACTGGTGGGGCAATGGAAGAGAAAGGGGAATACATTGGAAGGCATGGGACAGGTTGTGCATACCAAAAAAGTATGGCGGTATGGGTTTTAAAGAGCTAAGGGCTTTTAATATAGCAATGCTAGGTAAACAGGCATGACGATTTTTAACAGACCCAGAAACACTCGTAGCCAGAATCTATAAGGCAAGGTATTACCCCACAACCAGTTTTATAGATGCAACTATTGGTAATTGCCCGAGTTATTGTTGGAGAAGTATAATGGCGGCCCATGCAATGGTAGTCTCAGGGGTGCGAAGGAGGATTGGGAATGGACAGACAACCCTAGTATGGGGACACCCGTGGTTACGAGACAATCCTAGCCCATTGATTCAAACAGAAATGCCACAACAGTTGAGAGAGGCGCGAGTTGCAGGACTAATTGATTCACAGACTCAAACCTGGGATCCGCATATTCTGTCTGATTTATTTATTCCTGAAGATGTGGAGCGAATAAATATGATCCCTGTTAGTCCTGAGTATGAGGACTCATGGTATTGGATGAGTGACCCAAAGGGGACATATACAGTAAAGAATGCCTATAGGCATATTGTGGGAGATTATGAGAATAATCCAGCGAATTTTGATAGGTGGATCGCAATGTGGAAAATAAAAGTACCCCCGAAATGGAAAATTTTTTTGTGGAGAGCCATATGTGATATTTTGCCAACAACCCTTAACTTGATATTTAAAAGGGTGGAGGTGGACCCAACGTGCCCTATGTGTGGTTTAGATCATGAAGATGTGTTGCATGCTTTAGTGCTCTGTGAATATTCTAGACTTGTTTGGAATATAACGCAATTACCTATTATTAATATTGTTGCAGACTCGTTTACAATATGGCTAAAAGGGGTTATGGCGGTCTTGACGGAGGAGCAGATCCGGTTAATGCTAGCAGTATTATATTATATTTGGAGAACCCGGAATTCAGCTGTCTGGAAGGGATCAATGATGCGGCCTACCCAGTTGGTCAGAGCAGCCACCGTAGCACTACAGGCGTACGGCACTGCTCATGTTGGCCAAACCAACCCGACACCGGCGATGGACCACGTGA